AGGAGTCGCTCCGTGGCCCCGGCCAGCCCCAGCGCGGTGACCTGTGCCCGTCCCCGCAGGAGAACGGGGACGCCAAGGCGCCGGACCTGAAGACGCGCCGCTGGGATCAGGGCCTGGAGAAGCCTCAGCTGGACTACTCGGAGTTCTTCAGCGAGGACGTGGGGCAGCTGCCCGGCCTCTGCGTGTGGCAGATCGAGAACTTCGTGCCCACGCTGGTGGACGAGGCTTTCCACGGCAAGTTCTACGAGGCCGACTGCTACATCGTGCTCAAGGTACCAGCGAGGCCACAGGGCCCCCGCCGTCTCCTGCCACCATGTCCCCAGGCTGTCACCACTGTCCATCTCATGCATTGTCCCTCCCCAGACCTTCCTGGACGAGAATGGCTCCCTGAACTGGGAGATCTACTACTGGATCGGGCAGGAGGCCACGCTGGACAAGAAGGCCTGTTCTGCCATCCATGCTGTCAACCTGCGCAACTACCTGGGGGCCGAGTGCCGCTGCATCCGGGAGGAGATGGGGGACGAGAGCGACGAGTTCCTCCAGGTGAGGCCACCTCGGCTCCCCCCAGGCCCCCGACATCCCTCTGCCACCCTGACCCTCCTCTTGCCTCCAGGTTTTTGACCACGACATCTCCTACATCGAGGGTGGCACGGCCAGTGGGTTCTTCACTGTCGAGGACACGCGCTATGTCACCAGGTATGGCTGGGGCAAGGGCTGGGGTTGCTCAGGCTGTGGGAACGCGTGGGGCAGGCAGTGCCCACATCCCACTGCTCCATCTCTCCCCTAGGCTGTACCGCGTCTACGGGAAGAAGAACGTCAAGCTGGAGCCAGTGGCGCTGAAGGGGACGTCCCTGGATCCCCGGTGAGAGGCGGTGACAAGGCTGGGGGACAAGGGGCTATGTGGGGCTCATTGAGGACCCTCTGGCCACAGCTCTGGGGCAGAAAACAGCAATGCCAGCCCCTTCCAAACCCAAACTCTGCTTGGGCTGTGGGTGCCGCCAGGGTGGTAACCTGCAGTCCCCTGCCCTGCGAGGAGTCCAGCAGAGAGGGCACCCCATCCTTGAGATATTCCGGGGGACACGCGGTGTCCCTCTCGCCAACCACCTTCTTACCCCGTTGCACAGGTTTGTCTTCCTCCTGGACCACGGGCTCAACCTCTTGGTGTGGCGGGGGAGCCAGGCCACGCTGAGCAGCACCACCAAGGCCAGGTAGGGCTGCCCAGGGGGCTTGAGGCAGCGCCCGGGTTTCGACGGGGATGTGGGGCACCCGCTCACCCCCGTGTCCGCCTCTGCTGCAGGCTCTTTGCTGAGAAGATCAACAAGAACGAGCGGAAGGGCAAGGCGGAGATCACACTGCTCACCCAGGGCCAGGAGACCCCCGACTTCTGGGAGGCTCTTGGGGGGCAGCCCGAGGAGATCCGGCCCTGCGTCCCCGACGACTTCCAGCCGCACAAGCCCAAGCTCTACAAGGTGGGGAATCGTGGGGCCTTGGGAGCCCCCAGGGGTGCTGGAGCCCCCTTGCTTGTCCTCACTCCTGCCCCTCTGCAGGTCGGCCTGGGCCTGGGCTACCTGGAGCTGCCCCAGATCAACTACAAGCTCTCGGTGGAGCACAAGAAGAGGCTGAAGGCCGACCTGATGCCGGAGATGCGCCTGGTAGGGTGGCATGGGGATGTCTGACCAGTGACGCTGGCTTTGTGCCCTCTGTGCCTCCAGCCGTGCCCTGGGGCAGCAGCTCAGGGCGGGAGAGCCGGTTCCATCCCGCGGGATCCGGGGTGGAAGGGTCCCTGCGTTTGTCCTGGCTCTGCTTTGGGAGCGGGGAGGGAGTTGTCCGGCCTGGGAAGCGGGTGCCTGAACCCTGCGGGCGGCGCCTGCAGCTGCAGAGCCTGCTGGACACAAAGAGCGTCTACATCCTGGACTGCTGGTCCG